ACTTGGGCATACCGCCCGCCAGGATTTTAAACCATCCACGGACCACGTAGGCCGAATCGCACAAATAGGTAAAATCACCAGAAAGCTGCTGCAAACACTCCAGGAACGCCCCAAGCTCGGCTCTGTTACTGGTCTGTCTGCGGCCTGCAAGGGGGCACTCCGACGGCGCAATGTATCGACGTCCACACTTCTCGGGTTGAGCTCGACCCACGCCCAGGCACAACGCCTCAGCCTTGGGTCTTTCGCATTCTCACCACCCGACCCATCCCACGCGACGAGGTGACCCACAATCTTAGCTGGGGTTCGCTGCCTCCGAGGGCCGCTCCTCTGCTAGCTTCACGAGGTGGGTAACTAACGTCGTGCAGCTCAACTGCATCGGGGGGGTCGGGGATGGACACGAGGGTGGACGGAATCATGCCACGGAGCCAAAAACAAACGTTTGAATTCTGATCGAGAGCTGTCTCAGCAGCTTCTACGACGTCCATACCTCGACACTCTGGAATGTCGGAATTGCAAGGGCATTGCCAGACACGGTGCCTAAGGCTTTCTGGGGCCGCGCCACACCTAGGACATGTAGGATCAACATCTTGTACAACACAACACTCTGCAATACGCTGCCTGGGCCACATACTCGCAGCTGCGGCACACTCGATGGCCGCCCGACGTTCATACTCCTGGGCTTTGTCGAGCGCGGAGGAGGAGGAGGCGGAGGAGGCGGACGAGGAAGATGAGGAGGAGGCGGAGGAGGAGGAGGAGGAGGAAAGCGAGGGGGAGGAGGAGGAGGACGAGGATGAGGAGAGGAGAGGAGGAGGGGGAGGAGGACGAGGAGGAGGAGGAGGAGGAGGAGGAGGAGGGAGGAGGAGGTGAGGAGGAGGAGGAGGAGGAGAGAAAGGAGGAGGAGGAGGGGAGGCGGAGGAGGAGGACGAGGAGGAAGAGGAACTGGAGGAGGATTTGGAGGAGGAGGAGGAGGAGGAGGAACTGGAGGAGGAGGAGGAGGACGAGGACGAGGAGGAAGAGGAACTGGAGGAGGAGTTGGAGGAGGAGGAGGAGGAGGCGGAGGTGGAGGAGGAACTGGAGGAGGAGGATGATGATGAGGAGGAGGAGGAGTAGGATGAGGAGGAAGGTCGCGTTCGCAGCCGCCCAAGGATAGTTAGGTCGCGTAGCACGGCACGGTAAGAGGCAGGCAGGAGGGAAGAGAGGAGGGGGCGGGAGGCGGGAGACGCGCGGCCAGCGGTCTGTCCAAAGCGAAAGCCCAACGCAGGAGAGTTGGGAAACCGAAGCGGCATAAACATAAACCGTGGGCGTTCCGCGCGGAGTTCTTGGGTCGCCGCTCGCCCCCCCCCCTGCAGGACGGGGGGTTCAGCGCAGATGCGCAAAATCCGCGCGGAGCTCCAGCAGTTAGTGCTCCTGCCGTTCTTCTGTTCGCTTGGTCCTCCCTTTCCTTCCTTTCTCCCCCGCGCCGCCTCAGGGAGGCCCCCTGCCCCCCCCCCAGGCCGTTCTTCTGTTCGCCTCATCCTCCCTTTCCCGCCTTCCTCCCCCGCGCCGCCCGGGAGGCCCCCTGCCCCCCCCCCCCCCAGGCCGTTCTTCTGTTCGCCTCGTCCTCCCTTTCCCGCCTTCCTCCCCCGCGCCGCCCCAGGGAGGCCCCTGCCCCCCCCCCCCCCCAGGCCGTTCTTCTGTTCGCCTCGTCCTCCCTTTCCCGCCTTCCTCCCCCGCGCCGCCCCAGGGAGGCCCCCTGCCCCCCCCCAGGCCGTTCTTCTGTTCGCCTCGTCCCCTCCTCCCTTCCTCTTCCACGCCACCCCAGGGAGGCCCCCTGCCCCCCCCCCCTTCGCGGCCGCCGCCGGGCGGCCCAGGAGGAGCGCCGAGATCCCGGCCAGCCGCCTGCCCAAGCCCCACGACTACTTCCCGTTCGACGTCTTCTGCGGGAGGGGCGCGGACGGCCTGCTGCCGGAGGACCGGGCGGGGAGGGGGGAAGGGGGGGGGGGACGGGGGCCAGACCCCCTCGAGTAATGAAAAAATCATGACGGGAGGTTTTTCGCCATTTTCGGCCTCGGGGGGCCCTCACCGGGCCTCGGGAGCGTCAAAAAACGACTCAGGGTGACAAACCGGTCCTGGGGAAGGGGTCGAGAACTCTGGGGTCGACGTCATGAAAAATTCATTACGTCGGGGGTCTGGGGAAGGAGGAGGGGATGGGGGGGGAGGAGGGGGAGGCCAGTGTCATCGCCGGTCGGCTGGCCTCTTCCCCCACCCTCCGTCTCCTCATTCCCCCCCCTTCTCCCCGCAGCGCTGTCCAGTGGCCAGCAGAGGGGCGCGAGGACTGGTTCTCTCCTGTTGCTGTTGCTTGCTGGCCCGCTTCTGTCTTCTCCTTTTGCTTTGAGAGCGAGGAGGAGAGGGATGGAGGAGGGAGGGAAGGATGGGGAAGAGGGGAGAGGGAGGGCGGGAGGGGGGAAAGAGGGAGAGGGAGGAGGAGAGGGAGGGGGGCGGGGGCCAGCGCTGCAGCGGGAGCACCATGTGGACAAACCGAAAACGAGTGGATGGGAAAATTACATGGGGAAAACCAGTTTTTGAAATCTTCTGCGCGGGAAAAAACACATGCGGAAAGGGCGGGACATCTTCTCGACAAAGTCTGGGGAAGAGTGTCGTGTTCTTAGTGTGTGCTGGTGGAGAGGGGGATGGTGCAGGGTGAGGGGGAGGGAGGAGAGGAGGAGGATAATGACGATGATGATGATGAGGAGGAGGAGGAGGAAAGGGAGGAGGAGGAGGCGGAGGATAAAGAGGATGAGGAGGAGGGCAAAGAGGAGGAGGAGGAGGAGGAGGAGGAATAGGAGGAGGAATAGGAGGAGGAATAGGAGGAGGAATAGGAGGAGGAATAGGAGGAGGAGGGAGGAGGAGAAGGAGGAGGAGGATGCGGACAGGGGACGCGGAGGAGGAGGAGGAGGAGGAGGAGGAGGAGAAGCAAGAGGAGGAGAAAATGGCGATGGCGATTGCGATGGTGATGATGAGGATGATAACGATCAAGTATGATGATGAGGATCGTGTTGCTGACGATGGTGGTGATGATGATAACGGTCATGACGATGATGGTGGTGATGCTAGTGGTGATGATGCGATGATGACGATGATTGAGATGAGTATGCTGCTGCTGATGATCATGATGGTTGAGGTGATGCTGATGCTGATGCTGGCGTTGATTCGCATGATTAAGATGATGACGGGTATGTTGTTGCTGATGTTGATGCTGATGATGATGATGCTGTCGCTGATAACGATGATGCTGATGAGTGTGACGCTGATGCTGATGATGTTGAGGATGATGCTTCTGAGGATGACGATGACGATGCTGATGGTCATTATGATTATGTCGATGATGAGAATGATGATGATGATGATGATGATGATGATGATGTTCATATTGATTGTGATTATGATGATTATGATGATGCTGCTGATCATTATGACATATTGCGATGCTGATGGCGTTGATGATGACGATGATGATGATGATGATGATGTCGATGTTGATGATGATGATGATGATGTTGCTGATCTTGATGATCACGAGGACGATGGTGGTGATGATTATGCTGACGGTTATGCTGATGCTGGTGATGATGATGATGCTGATGATGATGATGATGATGATGATGATGATGATCATATTGCTGATGATGGTGGTGATGATGATGACGGTCACGACGATGATGATGATGATGATGATGATGATGATGATGATGATGATGATGATGATGATGATGGTGATGATGGTGGTGATGGTGATGGTGATGGTGATGGTGATGATGGTGATGATGATGATGATGATGATGATGATGATGATGATGATGATGATGATGATGATGATGTTGATGATGATGTTGATGATGATGCTGATGCTGCTGATGATGATGATGCTGATGATGACGGTGGTGTTGATGATGATGCTGGTGCTGCTGGTGCTGATGATACTGCTGATGGTAATGCTGATAATGATGAGTATGCTGGTGTTGATGCTGCTGAGAATACTGATGCTGTCGATGCTGCTGATGAGGGTGATGATGACGACGGCGACGTCGTCGACGATGGTGCTGCTGATGGTTATAATTTATGATGCTGATTATGGTGGTGAATATTATGATGCTGTTAGTGATGATGATAGTGGGAGCGGCTGATGCTGGATGCTGGTGATGCGGGGGGATGAGGAGGACGAGGAGGGGGCTAAGGACAAGGAACAATCGTAGGAGGTGGAGGATGATGATGATCTCGCTGTTGCTGCTGCTGATGCTGCTGATGATGATGATGATGATGATGATGATGATGATGATGATGATGAGTGTGATGATGACGATCATGATGATCATGATGATGACGATGATGCTGCTGATGCTGATGAGGTTGATGATTCTTTGGTGCTGGTGATGATGATGTCGCTGCGGCTGATGATACTGATGCTGATGATGATCGTGATGCTGCTGCTGCTGATGGCGATGATGGAAGTGGTGGTGGTGGTTGTGATGAAGATGATGATGCTGACGATGGTGGTGATGGTTGTGGTGGTGGTGGTGATGAAGATGATGATGTGGGGGTGGTGGCATCGGCTGAAGACGGATGCGGGATTAGGAGGGTTGAGGAGAGGAATAGATGACGAAGGGCAGCAGGTAGCAGCGATCAAGCTGCTGGGAGGACGGAACACGGGGCGGGAGTAGGGAACGGGGAACAGGCAGAGTCGATGACGGACGAACGAGGCTGGAGGAGTGAAGTAAGGAAGGAACCGGCAGGAACGAGGAGCGAAGAGGGAGGGATGAGAGGAGAGGGGACAAGGGGGAGGAAAGAGGGGATAGGGAGAGGCGGAAGGGGGGAGGAGTGAGTGCGGACGTGAGGGAGGAAATACGGGGGGGAACGGAGGGTTAGAATGGGTGTTTCGGGAGGGCCCTTGCCACCAGTTTTCTACAACAATTTCTCTTCGAGGGTGATCGCCTGATGGGCCCGCAACTCAGGCGGGAGCTCCGTTTTGGAAATTGCCATCCATCTTTCGCGCTATGAAGGCAGAACGACCGTCGGGCCATCAAGTTCAAGAAGGTACCCAGCGACAGCTTCGCTCTCAAAATGATCGCCCTCCGTCCGTCTAGCTGCTGCACAATTGCAAACCTCCAGCCGTACAATCCCACGAAATACTAAGCGAGGAGCCCATGGTGAACATGGTCAGCCCGCAATATGTGGAACTGCCCCGCAAAGTTGCAGACTTGTGCTAGTACGCTTGGGAGGAAGTCTCAGGCGAGAACCCAATGATGACACATAATCTCCCTCCATCCGTGCAACTGTGCTTTCTCAGGCGAGTGTGCGCGGTGCGGAGGTGAGCGCTTCATTTGAAAACGATTCGCCTTCCATCTGTGCCGTTGTTGTTGATGAAAGGCGAGTGAACGTGGCGCCAAGGCGAGAACCCCACTTTGAAACCGACTCGCCCCAGGATATCGACTCCATGGGATCGAGTCGGTCAGCTAGCATATTGTACAGTGGAGGAAGACGGATTCGGAGGAAGGGAGAGGTGTGAGGACGAGGAGGATTTGATGATCCATGGTACAGGATGGGGAGCTATGAGGTAGGAGGAGGTGGAGGGTGAGGAGGAGGAGGAGGAGGAGGAGGAGGAGGAGGAGGAGTATCGTCTTGGGGTTCGTCTGCCCGTTCAGCGGGAGTCGCGGTTTTGTGGCGCCACGCCCAGGCCCGAGCGCTGCTTGGTCATCGGGGTAAGGCCTCGGATATTCGCACGTGAGGGGCTTAGGAAGGACGTGATGGGGGATGACGAGAGAGAGAGAGAGGGAGGGTGAGGGGGAGAGGGGAGGAGGAGCGGGGCACAGGGAGAAGAAGAGAGAGAGAGAGAGAGAGGGAGAGAGAGACACAGGCAGGGAGAGAGAGAGAGAGAGAGATAGAGAGAGATAGAGAGAGAAGCGAAGAGTAGGAGGAGGAGGAGAAGGAGTAGGAGGAGGAGGAGGACCACATTATCTGCATGCCGTGCCAGCCTACCTCAGGATCTGGCCAGGGAGCTGCGCTACGTGCGGGACCACTGCATGATCCCGCCGTTCCCATGGGGACAGGCCCCCACCTCCCCCGCCCCCCTCCCCCAGACTTCCTGTGGGCATTGCGTCCTATCCGTGCATTGTTCTTTACACATTAGAATTCAAGTTTTGATACTTGAAAAGTGCGAATTCAATCGAATTGTTTTCGGTGTTTTAAAGTCTTGTTCCCGCTGCAGCTTGGGCCTCAGTTCAGGATCGGCGCTTTGCTGCCGTTGTTCGGATTGGCTCGCTCGACCCAGCGTGGGCCGCTTTTTTGGTCCGAGTCCTCCCTCATCTTTGCCTCTTCGCTCCTTTCCTCTCCCCCGCCTTCCCCCTCCTGCCCTTCCCGCTCCTCCCGCTCCTGCTCATGCCGCTGTTCTTCTTCCTCGTCTTCCTCCCTCCTCGTTCTCAGCTTCCATCCATCCGCCACCACTCCATTGCGCATGACACGATTACGTCCCCCGTGGGTGTGCCAGGCCCGCAGTGACACCCGTCGGCGGGCAGAAGCAGCATCGGCGCAAGAGGAAGGGATGGGTGGGAGGGGCAGGATGGCCGATGCAGGCGGACAGGGCGCGAGCGCCCTTTCAGGTGGCCTGACCTGGGCACGGCGCCTTCGGCGCTACGGGCGCGGCTCCCTGCTGCGTCACGCTCGGCCCGCGCGAGTCGGACAGCCACAGCCTTCTTGCCCTTTCCCCCGTCCGAGCAAGACTGCCAGCAGTCTTGCCGCTGACCGCACTCCGGAGTGGGCCCCGTCTGGCGCGGAGCGCTCTCCTGGCCAGGCAAAGACCATGCGGGCCACCCGCGCGCGTGTGCCGTGCTCGCTGGTTATATACCGGCCGCACCGTGCTTGGCCTTGGACAATGCGTTTGCCAAGTAGTGCAAGACAGTGCGCATGCATTGACATTGTCAATGCGTTTGCTCACGCTCCTTATCAGGCAATACCGTGCTGACCACACGCGCGCGAGCAGATGTCAAGATCATGGGGGAGCAAGAAGCAAGTGTCTTCCCAGTAATGGTTACATGCAACACCTACCTGTCAGACCACCCTTCGGGTGGTGAAGATGTTGCGGCCAGGCGGGATGCGTGCAGCTTTTCGCTTTGCGATTGGCGTCGGTGGGTTTACCCGTCCTTCAATACCGCTATACAGAGATCAATCGTTCTCACCATATTTCGGTCCCCGATACATACCCAGACACACACATACACACACACACACGTATTTGTTACATCAACACCTGCATACAGACATACATACATACCTACATCCACGTATGCATGCATACATGCATGTATGCATGTATCCATCCATGCAGTTATCCATCCATCCATCAATGCATGCATGCACGCACGCATGCATGCATGCATACTTATTTGCGTACATCACGCACACATACCTACGCCCATGCACTCATACACCTATACGTGCATGCATACATACATGCACATGCATACCTACATACACACACGTGCACATACATACATCCATCCATCCAGACATGCATCCATCCATCAATGCATGCATACATATACACGTCCAAACATACATACCTACACTAGCACATACAGACATACACACATACACGTGCATACTTATATGCAAGTGTGCATATATACACACACATACACACTCTTGCACACATACATGCATTTATGTTTACATACACGCATACATCCATACACATACATACACACATACATACATGCATACACACATGCATACATACATACATACATACGCACGCATACATACATACATACATACATACATACATACATACATACATACATACACACATACGTACGTACGTACATGCATACATACATACATACATGCATGCATACAAACACACACACATATACATACACATACACACATACACACGCGCATGCATCCAAACACACACACACACGTGCACACATGCATACATGCATCCATACATCCACGCATACATACAGACACACACGCATACATACTTCATGCGTTTATGATGTATACGTACATGTATACATGCAGACATACAAACATAAACAAAACCATAATCACTCATGCCATACCATATCATACCATGCCATACCATAACACGCCATACCATACCATAACATAACATATCGTAGCATAGCATACATACAAACATTGTGCACGCTTCGCGTATCCCCACCAACTTTTCCTGCAGCTAATTAGGTCTGTTTCCGTGCCCCGGACAACTTCTATCTCCGCCTGCGCTTTCGCTCGCGGACGCGACCAAAAAAGTATCCCAACCAACCCATTCAGAAAATTTGCCCATGACAGCTGACGGGGAAAAGGGACGAAGAGACACATCGATGGAAACAAAGCGAGCAACCAGGGTGAAACGAGAGATCTCTGGGAGCAAGGGGGTTGCTTTGGAAGGCCTCTTCGGTCCATCCCTGGGGGCCGCGCGGGGGCGAGGGGAAGAGGAGGAGGAGGAGCAGGAGGAGAGGGAGGGCGAGGGGGAACAGGAGGACGAGGACGCGAATGAAGACGAGGACGAGGAGGACGAGGACTAGCATGAGGACGACGCGGACGAGGACTCATGGAACCATCTAGAGGTATTCTTGCGGCTGCTGCTGCTGCTGGTACCCTCTGGGAGTTTTTGGGGCCCTCTTGGTAACCCTCTTGGTAACCCTGGAAGGCTTCTTGGAATCATCTTGGAGGCCATCGATTACAGGATGGGGAGGCCCCCCAACTCAGCTCCCCCCTCAGGAGCCCGCAAACTGCTTCTTGGGGCTCTCTTGGAGCGCTCTTGGAGCGCTCTTGGAGCGGTCTTGGGGCCATTTGGAGCGTCTTGGGAGCCATCTTGAGCCAGCTTGGGCTATCTGAGCCATCTTGGAGGTGATCTTGGGCTCGCTGAGGCCGCTCGGGGGCCTCTTGTGGCCGTCTTGGAACTCTCTTGGGACCCTCCCCTCTTGGGGCCTAAGAGGGGCTGTCTTGGGGCTCTTGGGAGCCCTGGAGCGCCTCCTGGGGCCATCTTCGAGGTATCGATCAAAGGGGTCGCGATCTAGGTCCCCCCCCTACGGCCCTGAAAACCGCCTCTTGGGGCGCTCTTGGAGCCCTCTTGGGGCGCCCTTGGGCGTTCTTGGGGCCGTCTTAGGGGCATATTGGGCCCCTCTTGGGGCCGTCTTGGGCCATTTTGGAGCCATCTTGAGGCGCCCCAAAGCGCATCGGAAGCGAAACGGCGAGAAGGCAAGAATCTGCCGATCGAGGTCCCCCCCTCGTGGGCCACGATCCTCGTGAGGGGTGTCAAACATTGGCCCTCCCAGGGGCCGAAAAAGGCCCCTTCGGCCACCAGCGAACCTCACCCAAAAAGTGCAGGGGAGGGAGTAGAGGGAGGGCTTCCCAGAAGGGGAAAAAGGGTTTTGTGGAAGAGGAAAGAAAGACATCGTTAGACCACCTACGCCCAGAGGGCTGGTGGGATACACGCATACATACACATGGCGCCCACCATTAACATACAGTATGAGGATTTGGAGGGTGAGGAGGCGAGATGATGCAGCGTCAGTCCCGGGTCCCGCTTGGCGGTTCGCTTGTTTCTCTCTCGAAGGTGGCTACCTGGGCTGATGCTACCTTTGAGTCTCGTTGTCAAGATGATTGGCGTGCGCGGCTCACAGAAGTGTTGGATCAGGGAGCGCGCGGCGCCCATGCGATTGCGAAGGGCCCTGCTCCGTGGGTTCCGACAGCCGCCTTGGTCAGAGATGGTGTTATTGTTGTTGATCCCCTCGATCTCCTTTCCAGTGATGGAGGTAAGTTCTCGAGTTTCTGGGGCACAGGGAAAGGCGGGCAAGGTTCCCTCCTCTTGGTGGCCCCCCTTCCTAGAGCTTCCCCCGAAGAAATCTTGGCTGTCAGTAAAAATTACAGAGCAAACCAAGCCGTCACTTACGACGGTTCTGATTGCAGACGCTTCCATCTCTTATGCGATGAGGGTCTCATTGCGTTAGGCATGCTCTTGGAGTTGATGGAATCGCTTGGGCAGCTGACTAGACGGATCGGCGCCGTTTTCCCCGCCCCCTTCACGAAGCCCACTGGAGGCTACCGGCCGACAGGGGCGTCCCGCTCCTGGTATGAGGCGTGGGGCCGCATGCGGCGGCCCCGTGCCCTATCCCGGGAGCAGGAACACCCCCGTCGGCACTGGACTCTAGGCCTCCTAGATGGGATCGGAGTAGATGGGGTCGGAGGGTCGCGCCGCATCGCCGATGCATCGTCGATGCGGCTCGATGCGGAGCCCGTATTTCCCCACGCGGACGTCGCCGATGCATCGCCGACGTCGCCGATGCATTGCCAGTGCATCGCCGATACATCGCCGATGCATCGCCGATGCATCGGCGATGCGGCGCGATCCTCCGACCCCATCTACTCCGACCCCATCTAGGAGGCCTCTATGGGCTGCCGGTGCTTCTCGAGGAACCCCCAAAGTCGTGCGGAGACGGTCGGTGAGAGCGGAAGCCGGCGCGGCCGGGAAGGAGGCGAGTGCCAGATTTTATGACGTATTTGAGCATTTGGAGTTGGGCAATTCGGATACGTTAGAGGCTCGCTGCGTCCAATCTGCTTCCCCCTGGCGCTCGCTCGGCTCACTCTGTCTGCCGATCGCTGCGGCAGGGTCGTTTCCACAGCTGGTTTTACTGGGCGGTCCTTTCTCTGTGTCCGACGGAGTGGTCGCTGGATGCAGCATGGCTACGACCCCCCTGGGAGTTTTCGCCTTGTCAGCTCTCGACAGGGTCCCCACCTTTCCTCGTCAAGAGCTTGACGTTTACATTAACGATGCCAGCATCTCATGTGCGGGTACGCACGGTCACGTTGTGTCTTGTCTCGTCAAGTCGTCCGCTGCATTCCATCGCGCCATCGTCAGCCCTGACGTGATGAATTGCCAGCTCTGCTTAGACAAGATGTGCACTGCTGCGTCACGCGAAATCCAAGGGCGCGACCCTGCTGCCGCTCTTGGCCAGCTCGGAGGCGAGGCCGCAGCCGCGACGGTCCACCCCGGAGTTGATCTCTGTGCAGGTGCTTCCGTTCGAGTCTCGGGCAGGAGCCCGAAGCTCAACGCGCGCCTCGCCCTCCTGCCCGACGAAGGCATCTGTACACCACCACCGTGCCAGGCCAGGGCCACCCTGGGCCCCAGGATGGCGTCTAGACCCTCCTGGCTTCGGCCAGCAGGGCGTCTACACCATGCCAGGGCCAGGAGAGCCCTGGCCTGGCACGGTGGTGGTGTACTCCAGATTTCGTAATAAAAGGGAGGGGGTCTGGACCCTCCAAGACAAGCCATTTCAGACCTCCCCCGTGGGAGAAGCCTCCAAAACATCGTCCCCAGACCCCCCAGGCCCTCCAAGATAGCCTGGAAGAGACCCCCCCCCGAAATGAGGCCCCCTTCCCTTTATTACGAAATCTGGTGTACAGATGCCTTCTGCAGGATCCCGAGCTGGAAGACCAAGCGCCTCGGAAGACAGGCCGCGGACCTCGGCCGACGCGCTCCGGGGTTCGCTCGCACGCGGGCCCTCTTCCAGGCGGGGCGCGCGGCGCGGGCGCCCTCGGCGCCGGCGGCCAGGCCCTGCCTGCCAGGAGGCGTCGAGCCTCGGAGGATTGCAACAAAAAAAAAGGATTGCAAAAAGAAAACCAAGGATTGCACAAAAAAACACGAAGGATTGCAAAAAAACCCTTCGTTTTTTTTTGCAATCTTTTGTTGGGGGCAGGTGGGCCTCTCGAGCTCTCCGACCGCCCCTGGCGGCGTGCGCTGCGGGCGGGAGCGCGGGCAGAGCCGCGGGAGAGCGCGGCGTTGACCGCGCAGCCCCGCACGCGTGGCACGTGTTGCAGTCAAAAACCCTAACAAGGACGCGCGACTTTGCTCGGGGTACCCTTGCGTCCGTGCCCTTCCTTGCTCCTGCGTCCCTGAGGTTCTCGTCGTTCGCCGCCCCCCAAAGTCCAACTTCGGCCTCCAAGGGTCCTGCGTCCTTACCGCGGGTCCTTATCAGGGTTTTTGACTGGAGCTCCGCACGCGTGACACGTGTTGACGAGCAGGAACACGGCAAAGCCTCAGGAGGGGAAGAAACACACAGACACAATTAATCGTCGATCCCCAGGAAAATATGGGAAAATATGGGGATTGGGGGGGAAGAAAAAAGCCCAGAAAATATGGGAAAAGATGGGGAATCTTTTTTATTTGTGCGTATTTATTTGTGTGTCCTGGGGCCCCTTTAAGGAACACGGCAGAGCCCCCCGCAGCAAGGGGACGTCGGGCCTGCGCTGCCGCCGGGCGCTTCGCCACGGGCAGGCCCCCTGCGGCCGGCGGCATCTCGTCGGGCGGCCCCCGCTGGAGCGCCGCCTGCGCCCCCCCTTCTGCGCTGGAGCAGAGAGATATGGTTGGCCTGGTTTTTGAGTTCAGTTGACTCGCTTTTGAATTTAAAAAAAAAACAGTTCTCTGCATTCAAAAACCGGTTTTCTGAATTCACAAACTGTTTTTTCCCCTACCTAGGCTCTGCCTAGAAGGGTTCTTACTGTGTGTGCTTCAAGGGGCCGGGCAGTGCTACCCGCCCCGGGCGGTTCCCCCGGCATCCGCCCCGCGGTTCCCCCAGTTACGTCCCCTTAGCTTAGCGTTGCTTATCTCATCTTAGCTTAGCCTAGCTCAACTTAGCTTGGCTTAGCTTAGCCTAGCCTAGCTTAGCCTAGCTTAGCTGAGCTTAACTTAGCTTAACTTAGCCTAGCCTAAGCTTAGTTTAGCTTCGCTTAACTTAGCGCAGCTTAGCTTAGCGCAACATTAGCATATCATAGCATAGCATAGCATAGCATAGCATAGCATAGCATAGCGTGTCATGGCATATCATATCATAGCATTAGCATAGCGCAGCATAGCATAGCACAGTATAGCATAGCATTGCATAGCATATCATAGCTTAGTGCAGCGTATCATAGCATGTCGTAGCCTAGCTTAGCTTATCATAGCAAAGCACAGCGCAGCATAACATAGCATAGCGTATCATAGCATAGCATAGCATATCACATCATTTCATATCGAGGCATATCATAGCATAGCATAACATGGCATAGCGCAGCGCTATGTAGATGTAGATGTAGGTGTAGGTGTAGAGGTGTATGTAGGTGTAGATGTAGATGCATATGTAGATTTCGATGTAGGTGCGGATGTAGGTGTAGATGTAGATGTGAGTCTCGCTGTTGATGTTGATGTAGATGTATATGCAGGTGTAGATGTAAATGTAGCTGTCGGTGTAGATGTAGATGATGTTGTCCTAAATGCTCCATCTCCTAGGTAGGGTCGCACTGGGATAATTTTGAATTCGAAAACCAGTTCTTTGCATCCGTTCTCCATCCACCATCGTGAGCTGCGGCCAAGTTGGCGGGCTGTCTCTGCTCAGCCTCACTTCGCCTGGCCCGCTGTTCGTGGTCCTCTCTCGGCGCCCCCTCTCGCTCCTGTGCGCCTCGGGCGGGCCATGCATGACTGCGTCGCGGTGGTCGACGACCGCGGCTGTGCCCTCTGCCTCGGACTGGCCCCCCCGGGCCTCCTGGAGATTCTCTGCAAGGATGCCTATCACAGGGGCCTTGGGAGAGGCCTCGGAGGCAAGTGGGGTATGGATTGCAGGGTGTGTCTCGATTTTCCTGAGGATGCCGTGAATTGGGATAAGTTCACTCTGGCCCAGCGGGGCTGGTTCCGCGCGTGCTCTTGCGATGCTGCATGGACTGCCGATTGAGCGTTGTCGTGCGGGCATCAGGTGGATCCTGTTTGTCCACTCTGTCGGCAGGCTCCTGACGGCATCTCTTCCGCAGACTGGCGGTGCTTCGCAGAGACGGTGGTGCAGCTTAGGTCTCAGCTGGCCCCTGCCTCGGTTGTCTCCGATGCTTGCGCGGTTCGGGCAGCTGAGGCCGACAGCCGCGCAGTGGCATTCTATGCTCGAGGAGCTTTCGCCCATCCCGCCGACGCGTTGCCGCGTCCTGCTGTGGAAGGTTCCGAGGTCTTGCTCTGTGCTTGGCAGGTTTGTTGATGTGCTCCAGAACCCCGTTGGTCCCAGGGTGCCTGTGGATGGAGAGATGCGGGGTCGCTTCTTCCTTGGTGGTTCCTGCGAGAGCCGCATCATTCGTGGGCCCTCTCGCGCTGCGTGGCGTATCGGCATGAATTCGGGTGGCGGGCAGTTCCTTGGAGAGGTGCGAGGGCCTGTTTGGACTCGCTTTCCTCGGACTCCCCGGGCTGCCGAACATTCTGCCATGCGTGTGGTTTCCCAATTCATCTATTTTCCGTCGGTGCTGGTTCATCGCCAGTGGTTGCGCCAGTGTCGTTCATCGCTCTCTTTCTGCCTCTTCCCGAGAGTTACTCGGGCAAGAGATCCGATGCAGGCGTGATTATGCAGGCTGACAATCTCGAAGGCGATCTAGTAAAATCCACTGTGAAGGCCAAGGCCCACCTCGATGCGGACCAAGCGCGCGTCTCCGAGCGGGAAAGTTTCCCCCCACCCCTTCCTGCTCCCTCGCCCCCCGCCCCCCGCCCCCCCCCCTCCCGGCCTGCTGGCAGGTGCACTACCACGACTTCCTCGTGCGCAACGTGCTGAGGCTCCTCCCCCCCTCCTCAGTCTCCGCCTCCTTCGCCTCCGCCTCTTTCCTCCTCCCTCCTCCGCATCTTCCGCCTCCTCCTCGTCCTCCTCCTCCTCCTCCTCACTCCTCACTCCTTCTCTCAGGAGAGAAAAAAACACACAGGCACAATTAATCGTCGATTCCCCAGAAAATATGGGAACATATGGGCAGTGGAGGGGAAGACAGAAACCCAGAAAATATAGGAAAATATGGGGAACCCTTTTATTTGTGTGTATTTATTTGTGTGTCCTGGGGCCCCTTCATTCTCCTCCTCCTCCTTCTCCTCCTTCTCTTCCTTCTCCTCACTCCTCCTCCTCCTCCTCCTCCGCCTCCTTCTCCTCACTCTTCCTCCTCCTCCTCGTCCTCCTCCTC